TGTTGAAGCATGCACACCTAAATAATGCCTATTCACTATCGCCTTGAGGTCGAAGTTATAGTGTTCAAGGAATAAGACTGCTGGCAGGGAATTCCACTCTATAGCCGTTCTGCATTTAAATGTGGAAATCTCGTTAAATTACATAGAACGACAACGACTCGTAGAATATGGTTAACGGGTATATCCAGGATATGGACAGTAACATTTTTTTTTTTAAAAAGGAAAGATCTCAAAAGTTTGTGGAATTGCATATATGTATTAGCTGTATTAGCCAAGTTTTATTGAAATCGGTTAACGAAAAGCGGGTGAAATTCAATAAACCTGATTCATCCCCTAATTTGCCATTGTTCAAGGTGGAATATTTTCTTCAATTTAAATAGAACCACAACTAAGGTACCCCCACTCCGACAAAAAAGAATAATTGAAATCGGATCACAAATGACGGAGTAATCACGTGACATCACACAAAATAATATAGTCGAATGTAAGTCAATGAGTTGAATTACGAATCTTCTTTTTTTTGAAAGTCAAAAGTTTGACTATTCAGCCTCTTCACATATTAGTATATTTTCCTTGTTTTAATGGAAAAGACAACAAGCGCCTGTTTTCATATAATTTATTTCATATGTCCTGAAGGGTTGATGCTTTAAAATTGTATGAGACACCCTATCTTTGTTAAAGCTAGGCGTTAAAGTTTTTTAATATGTTTACTGTTGAGCGCGGGACTAGTGGAAATATATAGCTAGTAATAAATTATTTGACAGTATATGTGTTCAAATTTGACATTTGATGTTAGTGGTTGTAAAATAATGCTTGAATTTAATGGCGTTTCAAAGCTCAGGCAGTTTCGAACCGCTAAAGCGATCACTTTACAATCGTATTATCCAGTATTCTGCCAGCTAAGGACCAAAGTTGGCATTAAAACGAAGCACATCAACCGAGATCACGTTTACGAACGTTAATAACGGCTGTAGAAAGCTGAAAACGTATTACTGTCAATGTTTATAATTTTCAACAATAAAGCTCAATCGAATACCGATTGTGTGCGGGCTGTATACGAAATTGAAACCGAAATTTGAGAGCTACTCTCATTTGTATGGTACAGTTATTGGGTTCGTTTATTTTTTCGTTGTTGACCGTATTTTTAGGCTTTTTATTCAATCAGCAAATTTTATATTGGATTTTATTTTGTACATAACTTTATAGGGTTTTTTAGTATGAATTCATAGTAGCCGAAAATTGCACACAGGTTGTAATGAGAAACAAATATTGTACCTACTTGATTATATGCAATATACATATAATTAACAGTAATTTACTTTAATAATCATGATAATAAGGTCCTGGGGGCCTACCATAACCTTTCCAAAAACAATCTTATTTCAATGTAAGCTTAAAGTAAGCTTGTTATAATATAATACTCATATTGGTATCATGACAAACTTGTCTACCAAGAAATGTATTATTGCTTACAATGACTGAAAGAACGAATGATTTCCCAATATTGTCAATTCCTTACTAAAAATAGGAAAGAAATAACGCTATATGAACAGTGTAATACCATCTCTTTCTTTTTTGATGTTCCGAATCGTTTATCGTAGCATAATGTTAAAGTACTTAAATTCGCTCTGGACCTTTTGGAGGGAAAAGTTTCGTTTTTATTTTGACTTTCAATTATTTTGTGAAATCTAGTTTAAAGTGGAATAGGATAGTGCCTTAATCGAAGATTAAAACGCGAAATTATACGAATCTCGAACTAGAATACCCGTTTTAAGGAATCCCGAGTCAATCCAAGCACGCCGCCTCAAATTGCCTATCCTCTTTGTGGCGGCCATATTTACAGAAACATAATAAACTTCATGTTTAGGCTGTGGCTTTGCCAAAGCCTTAATAAATAAAAAATAAAAAATTAAAGTACTTAATGTTATTAACGTTCAGAGAATTTTAACTGCCAAAAAAAAGAAAAGTATGTAATAATGAAATCTATTAAAATTACGTTATTTTCAATTATTATTCCGCATTTTCATGGAGAAAAATAAGTAAAACAAGCTGAGTCTTGATAGTCACGTTGTGAATTCGAAGCTATAGTCTAGTGTCAACTGTTAGATTCGTCAAGGAGCATATAGATGGAGTTGTCATAATTTTACGAAATAAACATCGCGTATTTTTATTTTACGAGAAATTATTTCCTATGTAAAATATTGAAGAGACGTATGTAAATAAATAAGTTCAACTTAACTTTTAATCATTACAAATCAATATTAAGACAATAAAACTGAAAATAATATTATTTCCATTGCATCCGTGTAACTATTATAAGATTATAGCAGAAGAATATTTATATATGAATATTGCAGAAGCAATATTACTTTCATGTCAAATTCACGTCATGGTACGAACTGAGTGAATGAATAGTTACAAAGCTGCCAATGAAACATCATAGTTTTAACATTACAAATAAGCTTACTTTAAGCGCGTTATGGTACGAACAGTCAATGTAAGGTTAAAGTAATATTGTTTTAAGAGGTTGTGGCAGGCCCCCTGGTGTCAAACTAGGGAATTCACGTACGTGTTACATGTACTACGAGTAACAGAGCAGTAGAATTCACTCCAGAGCTTACTACTTAGACTACCCAGACTAGAACCAATTTAGAAAAGTTCATTTCCCAAACTGGTCCTATCGGCAATCGAACCTTTTGACGGGACGAACAAGTCGTGCTCCTGGTGGTAAGCGACACGCCTGTTCATAACAGTTGTATTGACACTCAGAGCTTTAAATCACAAAGTTTTGATGGACACTGCCTCTGCGCCCAAGTCTCACGTGCCTGTAATTTCACCAGCACACTTACCCTTCAAAACTGAAATGCAGTAATGCTCACATTACATGGCTGCAGTATTTTCTTGGGCCAACTCTTTCACAAGTGCACTACTGCTACTTAAAATTTACCCGAGACATAATCCAATTCCCACAGTGCAAGGCAAAACTTTTAACATTTTCTTATTAAATGTAATATAAATAGACGGGGTAGCCTAAGGGTTTAAACTACCGCCTCTCAAGTAGTGGCCGTGGGTTCGAATCCGGGCTGGCATATCTGAGGTTTTCGGAATTTATGTGTTGAAGATTAATTTGGAATTTGAAGTGATATTTTCGATGAAGGAAAATATTACAAACTCCGGAAAACGTGTGAAGTTCCCAACCCGCATCGGGCCAGCGCCGCGGACCATGGCCTGAACCTTCGCCTGAGAGAAGATCCGTACCCAGCAGTGGGACGTATAAATGGGTTAATAATAATAATAACGCACACACATAGTCCCGCAATAGGGAAGCTCTGTATCGCGGGTGCCACGGACACACACATTAGACAACCACAAATTACACCCAAACTCACGAGAGAAATAAATATAGGCCATACAGACATTTCTCCTGGCCTGGGAATCGAACCCGGGACCTATGCCTAATGCAGGTTGATGTTGAAGTAACATAAATATTAAGTTAAGTAATATTTCTCCAAAATAAAACGCAGTTAACTTTGAGATTGATGAAATTAATAAGTGAAATGTCAAAACTTTGCCCAACATTTCCCACCCTTTCTCTAATAAGAACACACCTGCAAAATGACAACTTTTCAGGAAACAGGTTTAAATATTTAGATATAGACATATAGAGGTTTAACTGCCTCCGTGGCCGAACGATTACCATGCCGGACGGCCATGCAGAGGTCCTGGGTTCGATTCCCAGGCCGGGAGATATATATGTATGGCCTACATTTATTTCTCGCGTGAGTTTGGGTGTAATTTGTAGACAACCACAAATTACACCCAAACTCACGTGTCACATGTGTGTGTCCATGGCACCTGCGACACAGGGTTTCCCTAGTGCGGGGCTATGTTGAGTGTGTGCGTTATTATTATTATTATTTTACGGACGAAATGAATCGATAACTTTTTATGCTTAAAAAGGAGAGTTATAAAATTTCACATAAACATACATTGTTTTATGTATTTCATATTATTTTTATGCCTTTCATGAAATTAAGCAGTTTTAACGTGGCATTCCCAAAGGTACGATTTTTAGAAAAATATGAATTGCCACTTCCCTTAAATTGACCTAGTTCATTTGTGGATACACGAATTATATGACCTATATTTATAAACAAAATTAGTAGATAAATACTGTATTACAAAACAAATTCAGTAATGGTCAATAATTAGAGTATAACTGTATCGATAAAGAATCGAGTTTTTCAAATCACCGATAACAGATCAAAAAATCAAGAAACGCATTCTAATAAATTAAAATATAGATTTTAATTATAGATCAACTAAATAAATTAAATAAATAAGATCAACATATCGTGAATATCTCGAGGTATCTTCTTAATTAGAAGCGTGATTTCTAATTCACGTAATCAATACGAAGTGTCTTAATTAAAAGTCGCTGTAGAGTTTATTTGTATGCATCTTTTCATAGATTGATTGCTTTGGCCACTATTAAGCAATTTCTAACATTTTTAAGCGATACAATATACGACACATTATACGACAAATCGGCAACCCACCTGTACTAAAATATTGGACAGAAATGGAGACGAAACGATTATATTTAATTTATAATAATCGATACTTCGGGGAAGAAAGATCTCAAAAGTCAGACACAAAGAATAAAAAATAAGAGACAAATATAAAACAAAAACTTAAACGTCCTGGTTCATATCTTTTCTATTTTTATACCTACGATATATATATTATATTATAAATTTGGTACACACAGGTGGAAAGAGCATAAAAATTTAATGCGGCTATTTACATCAATAATTCATTTTTTCAACAGTCTACTAGGGCGTCTACGCCCTTTCTTCCCTGAAGTATCGATATGTTTCTAGACTTTTCACTCTACCGCAGATAGAAATATAGTGGTCGTATTAATCAATAGTTTTTCTCATATTGCATTTTGATTTACAGTTCTGTGATAATTAATTATTTAAATTTATTCATTTCAGATTCGGACGAGGCGTATAATATATAACTGGTAAGAGTCGTTATAATCACCTTTTACAACTTCACGCTTTATAAAATCTTCTTATAGTTTTGTTAACATTGTGTTGCGATATTCAATACTTACTTAATTAGCGAGATGTCGTTATATAAAATTTCATAACAATAATAAAACAAATTTCTGCCGGTGAAATCGACTGCGGACACAGGTTAACGACAAAAATAGTAAATTCTTGTTTTTTTATTATTTCACGTCTCAAAACCTTTCTTCTATAGTATTATTAAATTAAAACATTTTGTGTTGGTTTCCAATATTTTTCTATTCTTAAACTGGTAAAGGCAAAGGCACTTGTGCGCCATACAGACTGTACTGAGTAATTAACATACGAAAGAAATTACTTTGTCTAGGAGGTATGGTATAACAGTATAAAAAAAGAATAAAATTAATAATTTTTCAGAATCAGGGAGTTTTAAAATGGCCACCGCAATGATATAACGATTTCCCGCGAAAAATTATCAAAAAATTAAACTATTGAAGAATAAATCTTAGATTATGACTTATCTCAGATTCGGCAGTATGGCTAATAGACGCCTTAGCCTGTCCCAAAGGACGACCAATTTTACCACTCATTTACACCCATTTAAATCGTTATGAATAAAAAGAAAATATTTACGTCATTAAAACATTACGTAAATTCCTCAGATTGAACGTAGCAAAATGGCTGTCGTAGCGAGAAGGGCTTCACGGTTTAAATTTCACTAGTTTGTTTTTTACAAAAAAAAACATGTGAAGTTTATGGAACAAGTGGAGCTTTCGACGACCGCAACTTTCAATTTACCTGAAGAGTAATTTTCAACTTAATTAAAAAAAGAAACTGGTTCCAAGAATACTATAAAAGTAATGTATAGCTAGCACATTTATTACTAATACAAATAGTGGATACAATTTATTGTATTAAGTTCTTACATATTATTTTTAAATTATTACAGAAGACCAATAAAGTATGTGATCGTAAAAATTCATATTTTAAAGAGGATGTTGTTGAACTGGTGACCTTCAAGCCCATCGGATAATATCGTCTGATACACTGAGATGAAAGCTTAAATTGGCAATACGAACATTGGGTAAAAGTCAAGGGCAATACGCTGGCGCCCTGCTAAATCATCGCATACTTAAGATGCATTCACAATATAAAAACAAAATTATTTCACATGAACGTACGTTACACTTAAAGCCATAGTTGTTGTTTTTATAACGGCATTGACCGGAAGGTTGATTCCGCTTTAAAAAACAACCTAAAAATTTGTAATGCTATTCATATAAATGCATTATATAATATTGTAGTAAAATTATCGTACAATTTTAGGATAAAGTGTACGAAATTCCAATCAGGAAGACATGCAATAAGTACAATTTTTTGCATTATTTTCAAATGTACTACTTATACCACAGACCTGTACATATGCAGGTTGTACTTGTACAACTCTAATACAACAAAGAGCGGACATTAATTTGTATGGAAAACAAAAAAATTACTCAACTGGAAAAATACTGCCTCTTTCCCATTTCTTTCACCATCAATACTACTACTGAAACGAACGCACAATGCACCACGTATATTGCTTACCGATATTTTATTTATGTTCTGAACCTAAAGGCGATTATTCTTTAACGTATTGTTTCATAAATGCAGCCTTACGGAGCAATGTAAGTGTAAAGACCGCACCGTGAACTTGTACTGCGGTTGTCAACTGCGTATGGTACCTACACGGTGAAACATAGACTTAACTGCAAAAAATGTGAAAATGACTTAACAATGAAATTTATGCGCAAAAACAAAGACACAGCATGCATTCTTTAATTTTTTCATAAGAAATAAAATGCTCATTAAAGTAGTATACCATTTAAGAACTCTTCAAAATGAGTTCTGTAAACAGCCCTAAAAACAACTTTTAACTAGTTATTTATTGATCTGACACCTTAGTTCCCAAAGTGGTCCAGGTGGACGTGGTGGTGGTCTACGTTGGCGTGACAAAAAATAATATGGATATGGAATATGGCAGAAATATAGCTGCAGGTGGTCCACCGGAACCAGCTAAATTTAGAAAGAGGTCTATGAGAAAAAAGTCTGAGAATCTCTGATCTAACAGGAAATCAACGGCTTTAAACGAAATTAAATAATAATAATAACAACTTTACTATGTGCTGTACTATATATACTTATAGATACTTTTTAACCGACTTCAAAAAGGAGAAAGTTCTCGATTCGACTGTATTTTTTTATGTATGTTAAGCGATAACTCAGGTATTCGTGAACCGATTTTGATGATTCTTTTTTTGTTGGAAAGGAGGAGAAACCAATACTGAGGTACCCACCTCAGTATTGGTTTTTTAAAGTTGAAGAAAATATTCCACCTCTAAGGGTGGCAAACTGGGGAATGAATCCGGTTTCGCGCACTTTTCGGTACCCGGTTTCAGTAAACCTTGGCAAATAGATGTAATTCCACTAACTTTTGAGGTCGGTTTTTTAGTAGGTTTTCTGCACTCAGATTATTGTGACATCGAGTGGTGGGACGAACAAGTTGTGCGCCTCGTAGTAAGTGACACACCTGGTCATAATAGTAAAGTCCACTCAGTACTTTATATCACAAAGGTCTGACGGGTACTGCCACTGCGCCCGTCACCCTGAGACAAATTGACAGGTTCCATATGCCTTTAATTTTACCAGCACCCTTACCCTTCAAAACCGGAACCCCGTACTGATGGTAATATTAGGACTCGGCGGCAGAAATAGGTAAGGTGGTAAGTACTGCCCTAGACGAACGCTTTCACAAGGAAATCTACTGCTTTAGTTGTAAAAGTCTTAGCATGAGTCATAAAAGTGCCCGCTCAGTGCTCGTTTTGCCGAGAGTAAACACTCGCACGGAAAAGATTCAGATCAAAAATATTACTTTAAATGTTAAAATGATTACTTGCATGTACTCGTTTTGCCGGTAATTAGTAGTCAGAGCTGGGGGTAGAACTAAAAGTGGATTTTTTTTAGTTTTCTGTAGATTTCTTCAAATGTAACTTAAGTCACCGTGTTGTTATAATATGTAGTATCGCACTACCACAATATGTGGTGTGATACTACATATTATTACAAGCGTATCAACTTTTTTAAATTCCATCTTTTCCGTAAACAAGAACAGGCTTGATGACAAATCTTTACAAACGTACACGTATAGTTGTTTCCTTACTAACAGGTTGTACCTCCATGGCGGATTAGGGATTGCATGAAGTGTTCGTACAAAAGATACATATATGCATGGCTATTATATACCGTACATAGGCATAGACGTCAGCGGCTTAGCATAAGTTTCTAAAGAGTACTAAGACTTATATAAGCAAAAATTTTGCATTTTTTACATTTCAATGAAGATAAAAAAGGTTTTGAATATACGAAACAACACAAAAAAAAACCAATGCATTCAGCTTAACTGTTACGTTATGTTAAAAAAATATTAATAAATTAAAAGTTAGGTTAGGTTATGTAAGGTAAATAGTGTTCGTACGTTGTGTTAGGTAAGTAGTTAGATAGTAAAGTTCCAAACACTAATTAATATTTTTACATGATTACCGCAATATTCAATTAGTAGGTAAATTGAAATGACATTGTGGATCCTATGACGATACAGCTAAAGTCTTAAGTAACTTAGCTAGGCTTAATTGTTTTATTTTGTAATAATAACATTTATAATTCCTAATACAAAGATCAAACATAAAGAAAATTTCTTTCGATCGCGCTGGATTCGAACGAAGGCACTGACCTTCAGCCATCGACTACACAGCCTCCATCGATGCCTTCAGCATACCGTGGCTGAACTAAGGAACGAACCAGCAGATCTTATGAATTTTTCTATGTACTTGTTGCAGACCTTTGTTTTTTTATTTGTAACGACTTTTTTGCCGTCGCGCCGTCTGTAAAAATTGTATGAGTCTATAGTAAGCAACCTAGTGGAAATCAAAGACAATCTTAAATAGATATCGTGGGTGCAAATGTTTCTTTTTTAGCTTGTGAAAAAGTTTGTCCAGGGAAGTACTGCCACCTTAACTATTTCTGCCACCAGCAGTAATGAAATTACACCCACATGGGACTTGTCAACTTATGTCCCAGGGTGACGGGCGCAGTGGCAGTGCCCCTAAGATCTTTGCGATTTGAAGCTGAATGGCACTGCAACTGTTATGAATATGCGTGTCGCTTACAACCAGGCGCACGACTTGTTCGTTCCGTCACTTGGTATTACGTGGTCTAAACGAGAGATGATCTTTAATATAATATGACCTAGGTATTCAACAATTCAATATTTATCAAGTTCTTATGTTTAGTTCAAGATTGTTAATTGAGAGCTTTTTCTGTCTATGATTAAGAATCAACTGCAACCTGTGAAGAGCCCGAAACGGTCAGTTTGGAAAAAAACAAGCGTGCGCGATTCAGATCCAAAAAAATTGTTTGAAATTCGATTGAGTCTTTCTGATAGCGCATTTCACCTTCAGTTTATATACAAGAGGGTTACCATTATTTAATATTCTTAGTTGAAGATGGAAAAGCTCATTTATGAAAAAGTAAGGAATACAGTTTTATCTCCATATAAAGTTAGATAATTATTGGTAAACCTCTTCCCAACAGTATTGGAAACTTCATGCACACAATTAGAATCCGATTCCCAAGTGTCATCATAAAATGACCAAGTAGTGTTTGCGTAGAATATTATGTTGCTGTTTTTAAGTGTTATATGACATAATTTGTTGATGTAACCAAAGAAAATGGTAGGGCCAATATTGGTATCTTAAGGAACACCGTTAATGTTAGCTTCCTAATAAAATAACAGTCTTTACCGCATATATCGCTTAGAGGAATTTCTATTAAAAAATTTTTTTTTATCATTTTATCATTAATGTGATTGTCATCTCATTATGGTATAAGAGAAAATCATTCACGTTGCCGTCTTTTCATTCATGTAACGAAAATATTTACTTTTTTGTTGCATATA